GATGCTTAACCGACTGAGCCACCCAGGCGCCCCCCTTCTCCTTTAATTTACTGCAGTTCTTATTCAATTTCATTCTGTTTAACAATATACAAATATTTATTTGTGTCTATCTTCCCTTTCCCCTAAGCTTCATGATAATAGGGACATCTCTATTCCAACAGAGACAAAACACTGCAAACAAAAAGATGAAGACTGGGCAAAAAATGCATGGGCTATAGGAAGAGAAAAAGAATTTGAAATAGGCACCCAATAACTATCACTACAACTGATACTAAAAGCAGAACAGGAATTGTCTGTTTGAACTAAAACCATGCCAAATATGCTTGGAATAAAAAAAAAAAAAAGTTACAATTCTGTAATACAAAGCAAATAGAAGGCTGGAAGGCACATACCTGATCCCCTGGCTGTTGTGGACTAGAAGTCGTAGGTTGCTGAGGCTGCTGTGGTGTAAACTGAGAGAGCTGCTGCTGTTGCTGCTGTAGAGTGTTAAAAATGAGTGAACCACCTGGAAGCTATTAAAGAAGAATTAGCTCATTTCACATTATTTAAATTTCTTTATTCCATAAACACTTTTAGAACATTCACTATGTATCTGGCATTCTTCTGTGGATTGAGGAAATAGGTGGATAAAAACAAAACCAAACCAAACCAATATCCCTGCCCTTAAAAAAAAAAATCTACTTAAAAACAATTTTTAATTGCTATTACTTCAGGCTCTCAAATATCTAAGTGATCTCAAACATCCATAATTCTGCTTAATAGTTAGCTATCCAAATGTACACACTACCTTTTATTTAACTCTTCTTACGTATCAGTATAAAACAGCATTAAATGCATTACAAAGTATAAACAAGAAACTGGTGATAATCAGATATACATATTAAAGAAACTTCTCTAATTTGTTCTAGCTTTACCAAAAACCAGAAATGCATGGATTTTTATGTAACACAGTAAGGAATTCCAAAGCTGCAATGGAAGTACATTAGATATCTGTATTTTTAGTTCAGAAGTACTACTTGCTGCTCTGTCATTCTGTACCTAAATTACTTCAAAAAACCCCCAAACAAAAAAAAAAACCCCACTTTTAAAGCATCCAGAAAATCCCATGTTAAAAATTAAAACTATGGTTTTCAAATGCATCAGGAAATAAATGTTTTTTCCACTTATCCTATAGGGGTTTAAGCTATTAGTAATCTCCCTTCATGCATGGTTTTGCTTTCCCTGGTTTGTTACTACAGTCAACAGCAGTCCAGAAGCAGATGATCTTCCTCACATGATCAGGTCAAGGGTAGCCTAACACTATACAACACCTATGTCATTCTCATCACCTAAGCATTTTATCATCTCATATTATAAGAAGAGTAAATACAGCACCCTGTACTGACTTTGAGAGACCATATTTACTTAACTTTTATTATAGTGTACCTGTTACCACTGTTCAATTTTATTAATTATTGTTAATCTCTTACTGAGTCTAATTTACAAATTAAACTTCATTGTAGGTATTGTGAAAATAAAGAGACGACTAACTAGAGTCTGGAAGCTCAATGTCAATTATAGGAAGACTGTCAATTACAGATCCCAGCAAAAGAATCCTCAATAGGAAAAAATCGTCAGTGACAGGCCCCAGCAGGGAAAGATGTACACTGCATCTCCAACAAGAAATCGACCACCCCTGAAACTCAGCCACCAAGAAGCTGTCGTCAGCCTGAACTCTTGCTTTTCTCCAATGGACTTCACTCAAAACGACCCTCTCCACTTTCCTCCTCCTTCATCATAAAATAACATTCCTCTCTTTTGTTGAACTTGCCTATGGTTTTGTCATAGCTTGCTTGGCCCAAATTGCAATTCTGTTATTCCCAAAAAAGCCAATTTTGCTGGTAAAATAACTGAGTTTTATTTTTAAGGTTAACAGTATGTATATAGAGGAAAAAAAAACAGTATATACAGTGTTTTGGTACTATCCATGTTTTAGGCACCCACTGGGGGTCTTGAAAATACATCTACTGCAGATAATGGGGGACTACTGTACAAGCACCTTGAAGTCCTTAAGAGAAAGTCCAAGCAAATAAATACCCAACTACAGACCTCTCAGGTCTGCACAGCCAAAAAAAAAAAAAAAAGGTGTCCTCAGATCAGTATCTATAAACCTCATTGTTAGGTAAATCTGGACTTAGTATAGGCCAACTGTTCCTTCCTCAATCAGTTAAGATAATAAATGCAGCAAAATATAATTAACTTATAAAGTAGCCTTACTCCTTATGATTAGTGCTATTAAGGAATTCCACTCCTTTCCAACACCAGTATGGAAGGAAGTTGGTTAAATAAACCAATGTGATCTGTGGTCTGTCCATATTACAAGTGGACTGTTCTGCCATTACATTCTGTAAATATAGACATTGTTTGCATCTTGTGTAAGAAAAGTTTTTTAAGTTTTGGCTTAAAATACATTTCCTGATTTGTTATTCCTGAAAACCAGGTTGAGTTGATCTGTCTGGTACTGTTTTTTGTTTTTGTTTTTTTAATTTTACTTATTTGGCAGAGAGAGAGCGGGCACAAGCAGGGAGAGCAGCAGGCAGAAGGGAGAAACAGGCTCCCCTGATGATCAGAGCCCGACCTGGGGCTTGATCCCTGCACCCTGACCATGACCTCAGGGATCATGACCTGAGCCGAAGGCAGATGCTTAACCGACTGAGCCACCCAGGCACCCGTCTGGTACTGTTATTTCCTAATAATCCAAAGCTCTGCCATTTTGTGTCCACACATTCATGTCTACCTTTTCTAAAGGTTCTCTGTAGACAATCCCACCCATTTTCCAAACTGGTAGCTTTATACTGGACCTCATCCTTAAAGGACCTAGTGTAACACCCAGAATATTTTAAGTTCACAATGTGTATTAAATTCTCCACTTTCAATCTTTTTATATGCTAACATTGATAACATGTAAGTAAAGACTCATAATTAGACACAAACTGTAATCTGATGAACATTTAATGAATGACTGGTGCCTGGCATTGTGCTAAGAAATCATTCTGCTTAGGAAAAGAACACCTACCTATTTTTAAAATCTTTCTTCAAACAAACAGTAATACATATGATACATACATAAAATTCCTGTTGAAAGGAATTATTTTCTAAGTATATCTATTACTGCTATTGTAAGCAAGTGTAGTTCTTGGTAGTTGTCAATTCTCCCCATTGGAACAGCTAGTGCTTGATTACGCAGAGTGCTGGAGCCAATGAGAGTGGTATGTAGGATACACACTCTTTCTCTTTATCCACTTCCCACGTGATCATACAAAGAAAGCATTAATTAACCACACCCTTAGAAGATTTCGAACAGATTTCAACATTTCAAATGCTTGTATGATCAGATATACATCATTAAAAAAGATAACAAACATAAAAACTTCAATCAAAAGCAATACAATCATTTACCTGGAGTAGATTTAAGGGCCTGAGATTTGAAGTATTTTTTAAACCAAATGGAACACCTGTTAAATAAAACTCATGGTTAAAAGAGGAAATTAAATTTTATTACACTTCAAAATATTTTATACTTTAGTACGTATAAATACATTTTAAGTACTTTCTGCATAGATGTGGTTATTTTTTCTGTACTTTTAAAATAAAAAACAAACAAAAAAATTCATCAATACCTATTAACACTAAGATCTTATTCAAAGATGTGGAGCACCAGACGTACATTTTATAGGCATACCTCAGATACTGTGGGTTCAATTCCAGACCACTACAATAAAGTATTACAATAAAGCAAGTCAAATGAATTTTGATTTCCCAGTGAATGTATGTTTACACTACACTGTAGTCTATTACATGTGCAATAGCATTATGTCTAAAAATATAATGTACAAACCTTAAAATATTTTGTTAAAAAAAACATTAACTGAGTTTTCAATGAGTCACAATCACTCATCATAGAGGACTACAACAAATAATAATGAAAATATATGAAATACTGCAAGAATTACCAAAATGTGATCCAGAGATATGAAATGAGCTATGGCAAAATGGCATCAACAGCCTTGTTTGATGCAGGATTGCCACAAACCTTCAATTTGTAAGAGAATATGCAGAATCTTTCAAGTGCAATAAAGCAAGGTATGCCCGTATTCTATTATTTCAGAAATGATAACGTCTTTTACCACTATTTTGACTTTTGGCTAGAGAAAGTAATCAGGAAGTATGCAGACACCATGAATATAATAAAACTGTCACTGCTGTGCAAATACATTTCAGGGATTGACATCTACTTAAATTTCTCAGTGCTAAGTAGTATACAATAATAATCCTATCTCCGAGAACCCCTGTGCTGTTTGCTATTTTTTCAAGTACAAATGGTAATATTAACAATGTTAAAGAACACTGAATTTTGTCAAAACTGAAAGTCAGGAAACAATGCTGTTAATCCTGAACTTAGTCCCAAAAATATGTGATGCAACACAGAGCACATAAAGCACAGGTTGGCAAACTTTTTCAGTAGGCCCTGTGAGCCACATATGGCCTCTGTGGCATATTCTTCCTCTTCGTTGTCTTTTTTTTTTTTTTTAAACAAACCTTTAAAAATATAACCATTCTTGTAGTTTGTAGGCCACGGTCTCAAAGTATGTGCATATTCTGCCAACGAAATATACCAATTTGAACATTAATTAAAATGTACCTAGTCCTCTCAGATAATTGAATTAAAAAAAGATAAAAGGCAGAACATTCATAGGTGATGGTATCAAAGCATAATCACATTAAAATATTACAGTATTGATATTACTCATCAGGAAAAATTCTCATGAAAAGATATGACATAACTTCTTCTATTTATTTATTTTTGAAGATTTTATTTATTTGAGAGAGAGAGCAGGAGGCTGGGGGGCAGAGGGGATAAGCAGATTCCCCACTGAGCATGGAGTCCAACGTAGGGCTTGATCCCAGGACCCTCCCTGAGATCATGACCTGAGCCAAAGGCAGACACTTAACCAATTGAGCCACCCAGGCACCCCCATAACTTCCTTTAAAAATGAATGACATCTATCTAATGCTCATGGCTTATCAAAGGCACTTTCAAATCACTTCATTAATGTCTCCTGAGTACCATCTAAAGTTAGATATTTTTACTCCCACTTTAGAACAGATGAAACTGAGGTCAAGGGAGAAAAATTAAGTGACTTCTTTTAGGCCCCCCAGTGAACATCTGGAGCCACATATAACTAATTGGTAAATATAAGCATCCTAAATTCAACACTTGATTCCATCTCCAGAGCTTCTGCCATTAACGTTTATGAACATTAAAATGAGATCATCAGCTAGAATTACGAAATCACAGCAATATGTTACCTGTTTAAATTATACTCTTTGGGTTTGACTTCTCATAACTCAAATTTTTTGATAGATTTTTCTTACTATGTCAAGTTTGTTTCTCCTAAGTTTTTTCTCAGCAGTAAGAAATTGGATTATTCCAAGATATTACAAAACATTATTTTAAACAACATTAAAAAATAGAGTAAGTTGTTAGAATTGTTTTCCAGTACATGTAATAGTAATTACTACTGCACTGGAACTATCACTGTTTATGATGAAGACGGCAAATGTTTTTGAATGCTTATGTCTCAGGCAATTTAAAGTACATCATATTTACTTATTTAACCTTCACAACTATGAGGCAAAGCATTATTTTCCCCCATTTTATTGGCAAGAAAAGTGAGGTGACTTTCCCATGATTACACTATTCAGTAAGTTGCACAACTGCGATTTCAAACTTAGGCAGTGTGGCTCCAAAGTCTAGGCTTTTTATTGCCATTCTATGTTGCCTTTCTCATACAATCTAGGTTTCCAAAATGTATTTCTTTTACTTGGAAAAGGAGGACTACCCTGACAATAAGGTTATCAAAATTAATTTATTATGTTTGGAAGGCAGACATAAGTTGCAGAAACTTACCAAGTTTCTTCATTGAATTGCTAAATGGTTTTTAATTTAAATATCAGGACTTCCAGGGCTTTTTAAATGTAATACCTGCGACACAATGCTTCAAGAAATAAGGACATTAAGTGTATATAATATGCTTAAAATGACATTTTTATATTAGCATGTACTTTAATTTTTTAGAGGTTATTATTTCCAATATTCTGACCTGCTTGAGAAGCTGCCTGCATTGCACCGGGCAATGCATTTGGTAGCAGACCGCCTGAGGGTAGAAGGCCACTCAGGTTTATTCCTGCAGGAGTTATGGCACCAGTGTTACAGCCCAGCATAGGGTTTGAACCACTCATCAAAGCCTGAGCTCCACTGCAGGAGAATAAGACAAAGCATTAAACTTGCACTACAAAAGAAAATTTCAGTCACATAATAATTCCTAGGATTAAAAAACAAGCTACTAAACAATTAGGTATTTTGGTCTTAAACATCAGTTTTGGGGCTCTGTTTCATTTTTATGCTAGAGAGTAACAGAATCTAAGATTATCTAAAATTAAGTACTGTATACTTATCAAGGTTTAAAATATAATTTGAAAGAGTAAAAGCATTAATCAAGGGATTAAAATATAGTAATGCTGAGGATAAACAAGAAAATCTACACTGCTGTCAATGTGAAGTAGTATCAGGTTAGTGCATATAATACCTAATTACCTAAAATTAAAACATCCTTGTTGAGATAGTTTCTATCCATATCTAAACTATTTTTTTTCAGTTTCAGAAATACGTAATTTATTAATTTCACAAGAATTTTAGATCAATGAAAATATCTTAAAAACAAAAACAAAAACACACACACAAAGAAACAAAATCAGGGCATCAATGCAAACTTACCAAACAGAGCCCACTACATTGATGAAGTTAAGTCCAGCAGAGTTTGCCATGACCTGGGTGGCCGTGGTTCCTGTAGTTATGGATGTTACCATGGTGGAAAGAGGAATGGTCGTTACAGGCATTGCCTGGCTCAGAGACCTTTGCTGCTGAGCAAACTGAGTTAACAAAGTGGGCTGAGGGGTGAAGCCTGAATCTTGGGGAGTAAGGGTGGCTGAAGGGGTAATAGGAGTTGAGCTCTGAGCATCAGGAGGGTGTGGGGTCGATGAAGGGGTTGGTGTAGGAGTAGATGGCTTAGGAGTTCCAGATCCTGCTCATTGAGAAAAATAAAAATTGCTAGTTTGTTATAAATGGCCAGTCCTTTTTAAAATAAGGTTAATGGAATCTTACTTAGCACTGACAATTTGTTCCAGTTTTTTTTTTAAGCAGTTAACTGCAAGTGTTAATTTCTACACATGATACATGAGTGTTGCTACACTCAATTACAATTAAGGATGCAGTATATCACCTAAAAATTCCATCAGAGATGCTATTACAGTAACAGTAAAAATATACATTTGTATACTACCACAATACCCATTTAAAAGTTAATTTCTTACATGCTACCTTTGGCCTAAAGAGTTTAAGAGGAATTCAAATTAATTTTTGTTATTTACGATTTCACTAATTTAGAACTTCATTTAAAAATATTGCTTATTTTCTGTAACAGTCTGAGATAAATTCTGAACATATTTAATTACATATGGTTAACAATCATATTTGGCACCTAAATGTACATGTTTAATTCCTAACACATCAAGTTTATCCTGACAAACAAATTTACAAAACACAGTAATAAAGCAAATATTTGATAGATAATACTGCATCTTTAACAGTAACTGTGTACTTCTGTTTAAATGTAAGAATGTATAGAAAATCTGTTGTGAATGAAGTATGCACAGTTTATCAACTTTTTAAAAAAAAAACAAAAACAAAAAACAAAAACCAAAAAAATAAAACCAAAAGCTCTTGAGGTGTTTTCTTTTTTAGCTTTCATGTCCTGCAGAAAGAAAGGAAAGAAATGTGAATGTCCAGAAGCTGTCACTCAACCCTTACTTAAAGTAACAACTGTGTGCAGTAGATTAACATAATCCATACCCACAACATAAGAAGTGTGAATAAGACTTCCAGGAAATTTATAAATTTTTCTTTGTGCAAAACAAGAAGGCAGAAAAATTACACCTTTTGAGCTATCAAGATGAAGATGTTTATATCTAAGGCGAAGACCACCCTATCACTGTGCAGTGTACTAAAACTTTCAAGCACACTTTAGTTATCTATAAAAAAATCTAAAAAACTGGAATGCTTTTTTGCAAATTGATACCTAAATATCTCAGAAAACTCTAATTTGAAGAAATTCTCCCAATTGAATGCTAGAATTCTTGCATAAGTTTTCTTGATGTTAAAAAAAAAAAAGTATTTAGTAAAAATTACATTTTAATATTTTCAGAATAATGCCTTATGATTATTAACACATTTTAGCAACTGATTACAATTTTTAAGAGTGTAGGAGTGTTTTTGAAAAATCGGCTTTCAGTTTATCACCACCTTGGAACTAGCTGGTTTCTTACATATACAAAAATAGGACTGCAGCAACAACTCTTATGACTTGTTTTTCTTATCAGCTACATAAGTTTACATAAAATGTAACATGATCCTAGGGAACACTGGAATAAAAAATATTTTGGAATCTTATTGCCACATTTAACAGATTATTTTTTTAAGGAGATGTGTAGGTTGTAAATCTATAAGGTATACACACAGTGCATACACAGATACAGAAAAACAAATACAATTACAATAAACACATAATACATACAATTAACAAGAGATTCGCCTGAAGCTTCTCAAAACTTATACATTTTGGGTACATAGTACATTCAGATTTCAATATTTCACTGGTCAAAAAAAAATAGCTTTTTAAAGAAACACTAATGCAAAAAGCTAATGAAGAATTTTAAGTTATAACTCACTTTGTGATGAGCTGGCAGGTGACAGGGCAGCTGGAGAAAGCATGCTAACTTGATTGAGATCCACAGATGACTTCCGAGAAAGACTTGGTGGCTTGGAAGCAGGAGGAGGAGTTGGAGATTTAAGAAAGCTGCTGGCCTGCTGTGGTGTAAAATAGTTACCTAGAAGAATATAAAAGTTATTTCCTACACTTATAATTCAAAATTCTGTGAATTAAGTCATAAGTATAGTTTTAAAAACAGATTATAACTGTATGATGTGTTTTACTCCAGAAGACAGAAATCAAAGAATGTAATACCTGAAGAACTACTTCCTGAGCTTGAGGGAAGTTTGATGGGTGGAGGTCGATGTTTTACTCCCTTTCCCAATACTGATGACTGAACTGACACAGTCTCGGGCTGCTAAGAGACAAGGACATTAAATATACTTGTTAAAATTAAGCTCAAATCAGAAACTCCTAAATTAATACCACTATAGCTTCTAGATGACAACACACACTTTAAAACTCTGCAAGTTTTATAGTGTGTTATAGGGTGGGTGTGAAAGATGTTACAAAAAAATACAATTTCACATAAGAAGATCCATGAAACAAATTACAGTATATATATAAAGGATGAAGGAAAGATTTCTAAGTAATAGCATGGGGAAAAACTTTGAAGGAGAAGAGCAGAAAGGTAAACTGAAGGCAAAGCTTCCACTCTTAAATCTTTCCAGGGAAAAGAGTAAATTGTTGAAACCAGGTGATTAGTATACACAGGTGTTCATTATACTTTTCTCTCTACCTCTGTGTATACTTGAAAGTTTACAGAAAGTTAAACACTACACAATACCCCCATCCCTCAAAAAACAGTCTTAAACATTTCTTAGATTCCCTGAGAAACAACTAGGCATAAAAAAGTAATCAAACATACTTCTGTTTCTTTCCCTGGAGAAAGCTGACTCAAGCTGGCTGAGCCACTGGAGCTGTGTGACATTTTGACTGGGCATTTGGCTTCATTCTGGACCAATTCCTGGTATTGATTGACTACCCTGGAATATTAGGAGTAAATGGGTAAGGATTAGCTAACTGTTCTAAACACAAAATTTATAGGAAGTAAATAATAGCTAACTGTTAATACAAGAATTTCCATCAAAATTAACACAAAAATTCAAACTAGGTAATTTAAGTTTGTACCAAAATTACACTCTTCTTTTTAATTACAAGCTAATGCTCAAAACATTTTGCTAATAAACAATCTAAAGATAAACATACAGTATCTTCCTTTTAATACAGAAAGTACAGGGATTATTTAACCAATAAGCAGCCAAAGAAATTACCCACTGACTTTCACTCACATTCTGATTAAAGTACTACTTAGAAATTACTTTCCTTAGCTACCATAGAAATATCTATGCTTTCTTATTTAAAACACACTGTATTTTAAACATGCCTCTGTTATTTTCCTAATTCTATAAAAAATTCTAGTAATATCTAAGGTACAAAATAAAATCAAAATTGTGACTCTTAGTGGAGTACTCTGTCCTATAAAAGTGAAGTTTTTCATATCCATCCAGATTAAAGAAAAGACACAAATATTTTTACCTCTCAGCATCAGTCTTTGATCCAATAATAAACCTAGTATGTTTAAGAGAGAGAAAAGTATTATGTTAAGAGTTGTCTTAAGGAGCTCTGGGATTACTTTTGAAGGCTTCCATATTTTAGTGACTGCAGTTTTATAAAATGAGTCAAACTACAAAGATATTACAAAACATTTTTTTTACATACATTTAAGCTTATGAAGCAATGACCAAGTTTTGCATGCATTATAAATATCCTGTGAACAATTTGGCTGATTTAAGGGAGATGTATTTTGGCATAAAACTTATGTATCAAAACAAAATCTGGGCTCAAAGTTACCAAGTGCTATACATCCTTGCAAGTGTCTGCCCTACAGCAAAATTCACTGAATTACTGTGTGCAAGGCCTTTGGCCTTCCTCTCACTTTAACGTTTGATTTTTGAAGTCATTAATAATGTCTACACAGCAGATCTTAGAATATATTTTAGACAAGGTAGTTTATTGCCAATTCAATAAAATGTCTTTAACAAGTCTTTTTAAAGAATTTGACATTTATATGATTTCTTAAACAGATTAAAATAGTGAGTTTGTTTATTTTTTAATTACCAATTTGAATGATCATCTGTGGAGGAGCTGAAATATAAAATGTAAAAAAAAGAAAAAACTTGGTTAATGCAGCTCAAACTTTAACTTCATAGTTATTAACTCAAGTAATTTATGAATATGGAGGAATGACTGGAAGTAACAAATCATGCGGTATTTTTGCAGCAACTCCCTGATGTAAAGGCAAAAAATTCAATTCTCTTCTTGTTAGATCTAATCAGTTGGCTTTTGAACTGATTTGTTCTTTTTTAAAGAATTTATTTACTTTATTTGACAGAGACACACAGCGAGAGGGAACACAAGCAGGGGAAGTGGGAGAGGGAGAAGCAGACTTCCTGCGGAGCAGGGAGCCCGATGCAGGGCTTGATCCCAGGATCCTGGGATCATGACCTGAGCCAAAGGAAGACGCCTAATGACTAAGCCACCGAGGCACCCCTGAACTAATTTTTTTTTAAACGAGAAAAAGAACATATCTCCTTGTGTCTGAGAAAAGTTCATAATTTAAAATGATCAATGTATGTCTTAAAGGGGGAGATGTTTAAAAACATAGGTAATCGAAACATCTGATCTATGTAGTATTCAACAACAGAAACTGCTAATGTGAAAAAATTACCAAATGATTCTTTGACTGAAACTATTTCTTCCCATTGACTTTTACTTAGATACTGGTGAGGTTGTTCTTTAAAATCCATTTCTGCTATAGTTGCAATTAGCATCTTGTGTTAAGTAAAAACTTTATATAAATAATTTAACATAGGCCTGGCCCCTGCCTTTTTTCTGTTGAGCTCCTCTTTGTAGTCTCTTCTTTTTGAAACAGCATCAACTTGATTGAAAAACAAAATAATCTAACAATAAAAACAAAACTAAATACTGTTACCTTGTACTAAATATACGTAGTCCGTAAGTTTTAGATCAAATATGTGTATTTTTTTTTAGAGCCAATAACTACATTAAGCACTGAGTCTTTGTCCTTACATGCAGTGCTGCAATACCAAGTACATTTAACAGCTTCTTCGTTTATTCTAAACTTGCTACCCATTGAAACAAAACTACTTCTCAGAAACATTTCAACTTCCTGCTCACAGGTTGAAGTCACAAGTGTCAACTCATAAATATAACAAGAGGATTATATCCTTTAAAGCAAGTATGAAAATAATTATACCATAGGTTTTTAAAAAGATAATATTTTAAGTAACTCCTGGACAACATGGTTATTGTAATTTAGGTTTACTTTTGTCCACTGACAAATCTAATTGGAGTACTTAAATAACAAATGAACCCCCAAAGGGAAGTTTTTACTCATTAATGGTTCATCAGTAGATGCTAGATAAATTCTGATGCCTAATTTTGTCAATTACATGCATTTAACAGAACTCACTGGGATGGAGACACCTGGCTGTCATTTTCTTCATCTTCTTTACATGGCTGTATTTTACCATAGTAAAGTGGATCACCAAGTGACTGCAAAATGGTCAGCTTTGTTTTCTGATACTGATTACCAGCTTCACATTCAAATACATAATCATCTTTTACATCCTGAAAAAGAGTGTCCCAGATATCAGTAAATACATAATCAAAGTTAACAAAATAAATGACACACTAACTTATATCTGGCAATATGAAGACACATCACATTTTGACTGCAGACCTGTTTAAGACCATCAAAGAGAATAAAGCCCAGGATTCTTTTTTACATAGCACTTTAAGAATGAGAGTCCAATGGGGTAGTTAACCAAGCCCAAGTGAAATGGCAGAATTGCATATACTGAACATACAGAATGCAAATACTAAATATTAAAGGGTTAAAACTTGAAGACAGATCTATTTGTCACATATAAAAAATATTACTGTACTTAGGAAAATTATACAGAACATTTAAAATCACCCTTAGAATAACTAATTAGAAACAGAAAACAAATCAGAACTACCAATATGCAACTGAAACAGAAATAAACATGCAGTTATATATTACAACTGCCCTTTAAAATGGAAACCATACTTTATGAAAAACAAAACAACTGTTCTTTCCTTTAATTCACTAAATCCCCAGAATGTCCTTTAAATTAAAAAAAAAAAATCCTAAAGTAAAGGCACTTTATGTTTAATAAATTCAGAAACAGCCTCATCAGAAAGAAGACTACAATGATGGACTTACATGGGCTGGCCAGACTGTTGGTTGTGAGTCATCAGATTTGATGGACTTTTCCACTTTAGCGTATTTCTCCACCTAAGCAATCAAATCAAGAGACAGGAGATGTAATGGAATCAGTATTGTGACCAAAGAGAAAAACCTAAGTAATTTATAAGACAATACAGTTTCAAGCACAAAAATTCTTGAATTGCTAATATCACCAACTATTTATGCTTAATTTAAAACTCTCCTGATACAGTAATTCGACCAATTGGTTTTAAAAACACAATTAGAATCTCTTTTGTCATTAAATAGGTGTAATAAACACGGCTGCTTTTTTGGACAATGCCTTTTCTTTTTATCCCATAAACTGACATTACATTTATCCTTTAGGAAAGCTGGAATGATACAGATATAATCAGGACCAAGATCTTTTCCTTCGGCTGAGTTTTTAAACCACTTTTTTTTTCTAAAGATTATTTGAGAGACAGAGAAAGAGAGAAAATGGCTCCCCACTGAGCAGGGAGCCCGACGTGGGGCTCCATTCCAGGACCCCAGGATCATGACCTGAGCTGAAGGCAGACGCTTAACCAACTGGGCCACCCAGATGCCCCCTATGGCTGGGTTTTAATGGACAGTTGGGACAAAACTGGAGGAAGACTAGGGAAGTTATATAAAGTTGATAAAATTTTTGTGAACCTTTTCCCTTTTCTAATTGGACATGGACCATACATTCTGTATTATCACCTACTAGTCTGTGTGAATCAAACTGTCTCATCTTCCTGGTAACCATGACCTTAAGATAAATCAGACTCACCTGGGAAACTGATAAAAATTCAGATTTCCATGTCCTTTCTCTGGAGATCTGACTAAATTAGAAGGTCTAAAGTGGGGCCTGAAATCTACCTTTATCTGGTATTCTGGATGATTCTTCTGCTCAACTCAGACTGAGAAACTTTGTATTAGCGTTTTGCTACTCAAATGTAGGCTGTGGACCCCAGTACCATGCAACCTGAGAGCCTGGCAAAACTGCAGCAGCTCCGGTTCTAGCCCAGACTTGCTGAATTAGAATCTGCATCTTACAAATAAGCCAAGGTGATTAGGATGTACGTTAAAGTTTGAGAAGCACTGCTTTAGATATCCAGTCTACCCTCCAAAGCTAAATCCCACCCTTTAATATTTACACTAACATCTCTTCTCAAGCTGCATTCCTCCAGAAACACATTAAGTTATAAAAAATAATGTGGCTTATATTTCCTTTAGTCATATACATAGTATACTTCTGATGGTTTGGCTTTGTGCTTTTCAGAAATTTTTCTCTTAATCTCAGAAAATAAGAATAGTACATGTGCTAGCCTAAGAAGGATGCGGAAGAAAAGCAAACATCCGTTAAAATAACTAGCCAGAGTTGAGTGAAAAACAAAAAGGAACACAGGAGGAATAGGAAAGTAAAAGAAATATGGGACTAGTCATCAAAAGATCTCTTTCATGTTTTTGATCATTTATAGCTCATGAATATTATGGATTAGCAGAGAATAACACAAAGTTCCTAATCTTGGTCACTGATTTGAAAAAAGAAGTGTTATCAGGAAATTATAATGGAATATTATGAAAAAAGAACACATTTTATACATATTATGTTATAATGTACCATCTTTTTCCATATTTCAAAATTCTTTATTATTCCTACTTTAAACACAGACCTTTTGAAGTAATACATAGATGTATTAAGGTGTTATATTCCTACACAAGTTAATGTGAAAGAATATTCTAAAATATTATAAAAATGAGCAATTGATTTAAAAAAAAATCATTACTCTGTTTTTAAAACAAGTCTTTGTTTTCCCAGAATATAAGCTGCTACTAGTTAAATTTAGGAGCTTTATATGAAAATAAGTGCAATTCATGAGCTGACTTACATCCACTTCAGAAGGTATGGCCAAATTACAGGGACTCCGCTTCCACATATCTACACACTGAAAATTAGAAACAGTATTAATATGCTGAAAATTCAAAATGAGCAAAGCTTTTGGCATAATAATAAGCTTCATTTAAAAAAACACATACTTACATTTCCTGCTTTGGATATCTTGAGGTCATAATGTTGACCTGCTTTTCTTTCCTTCCTTTTTTGTAAGAAATCAAGTAATTTTAGCTGTGGAGGAGGTGGACAATGAGACAGATCCTGTTGCCGGTTCAGAGAAGACCTGGAATACCTCTTGAAACACCTGAAATATTGAGAGAGTTGAACTAAACAAAATAAAAGAAACTCAGAATAAATCTGGATTCAAATCAGTAAGCATTATATATGTAAATCACAAATATCTGTAGAACACTATCACTTGCCAAGCAAAGTCCCACGCACTGGTAAAACGAAAATGAACAAGATAAACAATACAGATAAATAAAACAACAGGATTAGATTCCTGCTACCATGGAGCTGATAGTCCAGACAGGAAAACAGACATTCACAAGTAAACAGGTAAGATCATTTCAGACAGCACTGATCAGGAGGAGGAAAAAAACAAAACAAAACAGAGTCCTGTGGTGAGTCAGTGACAGAGAGGGCAGCATTAGGTAAGAGAAAGGAAGGACTGGACTCTGAAGAAATGATGTGTGAGCTGAGCCATGAATGGCAAGAAGGAACTGCCTATGAGAAGATCAGGGAGGGCGCCTGGGTGGCTTGAATAGTTGGGCACCTGTCTTTGGCTTGGGTTGTGATCTCAGGGTCCTAGGATCAAGCCCCGTGCTAGGTTCCCTGCTTGGTAGGGAGTCTGCTTTTTCCTCTCCCTGTGCCTCCCACCCCTCGTGCTCTCTCCCTCTCTAATAAATAAAATATTAAAAAAAAAAAAGAAAAAAGATCAGGAAATGAGTATCTGAAGCACAAAGAAGAATTTAAAAACTAAAAAAGAATTAAAAATTTGTTTTAAAACCAGAAAATAGGTGTGATTAGAGCATGAGGATCCACATAATGGATGAAGTGAGAGATTGAGAAAGGGGCCTTGCAGATCAATGGTAATGTGTTTAGATTTAATGTGAAATACAATGGGAAGCTTTAGGGAAATTTAAGCAAGTAGTGGCATAATCTCCTTTGAAGTTTTTAAAAGATTATTTCAGTTTGCTTACGTGACAAATAGATCAGAAGGGAGCAAAGATAGTAGCAGGAAGACCGGTCAAATAGGAATTTACTACAGAAATAAGATGAAGATGATGCTGACTTTAACTATGATTTAGCAGTGGGCATGGAGATGTGGAGAGATACAAAGAGATTTTATAGGACTGCTGACAATCTTATATGGACTTATTTCACTATTTCTGAAACTGTATCTTTTCCACAGCATATGTTATTTACATAGTAAATTAAGGAATTTAGAAAAAGGATAGGTTTTGAACTCCTCCAAACTTGAAGATTATCCAAAGTGGGCAATTCAAACAATTATGTCAGAAGTACTTAATGATGAACCAACTATAACTGCAGTCCAAGTTAATATTAAGTAAAAGAGATAGATAAAACATTTAAAAACAAATTACCATGTTATAAAAAGGCATCTGGTTATAAATTGACTTGTCAGACTGATATTTTATCAGATCTCAAAAATAAATTATAAATCGTTTCTTTAAAAGGAGTATTAACAAAACAAACAGGTTATTGGTTATTTGTAATTAATAAATGAATTATTGTTTATACTCGTCTCTTCTCAGCCTCTCTTTTTGGTAAACAGACTAAACTTTAGAAGTTTGTTCTTTCACAAAATGCACAGAATGCACCACTTTAGTATAAAGCAGACGGTATTAAAAAACCATAATACACAAAAAAAGTAATATAAGGCCATTAAAATCCTATTTTAAAAAAAGTCAGAGCACTTATATACTTTGGAGGGGGAAGATACCATAAATAGCAAAATGTAAAGCTACTTGCCTAGGAGCATCTTTCGGTTTACCTATCTAAAAAGGCAATTACCGTTTCATTGGGCGCGTGTTCATCTTTTGCTTATTATAAAGCAGTCTGTTTGCAGTGCAGGTTACTGCTATAGAAGGATCAAGACACAATGGTTCTGCTGTAGCTAGGATCAGTTGGCTCTCAAGCAAAAGTTTATCTTCCTAAAATGTGTAAGAGCGTATGTCAGTAACAGATTTAAGTTTTTCAAATCACACATACCTCTTAATCTAGAAATATTCCTTGGAATTCTGTTATGTACTACTATAAAACACAGTATTTCAAGTTCCAACCTTTGTGTAAACTTCAAAAACTTGACAGCATAATGAAACCATTAATGGAAATTCAGTAATTTGTACAGTGTTCAAAATGGTCAAGTTTTTAAGAGTGCCTATTCATTAATTGAACAAATAGTTGCTGAGCACCTACTACATGCTGGGCCCTATTCTAAGAGTTGAAGGTTAAGTGGTGAACAAAACACATAAAATCATCTGCTCCCACAAAGCCCACAGAATTATGAAAGATCACAGCACTTTCAATAACACAAAGATTAACAGTCCCATTCTATACATAACTTCATTTCAAGAATAAAAATGATTACACTAATACTGTGTAAACTCTATATACCCAATTCCAAAGTGTGTAACAGGTCTTTTACTGGTATTACGTAAGAAATACTACATTTTTTTTTTTTTTTTTTTTTTTGCTTAATCACTGAAATATTTTAACAGCAACAACTACATTTTTTATGGTTAAATGAGTCAATCAATACTATTGCTGAATAAGATTTTTGCAAAAAAACCCACAAAACACTGCTGCTTTCAATACTTCAACTTTTTATTATGGATATTTTCAAACATACACAAAAGCAGAAGTGTGGTGACACTCATGTACCAACACTCAATTTCATTAACAACTGCCTCTGTAACTTATGCTTTTGTTTTGCTGGAGTTATTTAAAAGACATCTTTGATGTATTATTTCATCTGAAAATACTTCAGCATGCATTGCTAACTGATAAGAAGTTCTAACAAACAGTCTGGCTTTAAATTTCCCATTATCTCAAGAGTGTATTTTTAGTTGGTTTGTTTGAATTTGAACTCAAACAAGGCCAAAGGTATTTGGTTTTTATCTGTTTTAAACATCTTTTTTTGTTCTGTAATGTGATCATCTCCTTCTCCCAACTTTTTTCCCCTTTTCTCATGCAATTGGTTTGTTGGATTTGAGCAACTACTTCCTTGTGGCCTTTAACTGGATCTGACTGGCTGCTTCCTCACTGTGTCATTTAATAGTTTCTTTTATTTCCCCGAATTCCCTATAAACTGTTAGATCTAGAAGCTTAATTCTGGTTCTGTTGTTTTAGGCAAGAATTCTTTATTGGAACTACTGTGTACTTTCTCTTGCATCATACCAGGAGGAATACAATGACTGACTATCCCACTTTTACATCAGTGGGGTTAGTCAGATCTCTGCATCATAAATATTCCTACAAACCTACGATCTAATTGTTTTTATACCTAAGAATTACATCTGTCTAGATTCATTAATTCATCAAGACTTCCAAATTGATTTTTAAAAAATCTATCATTTATTTCTTTTGTACCTATTAGCTGGAATTATTCCTATATATGTGCAGGGAGTACACCTTTCAATTGTGCACTCCACACACTAAGATTACCCATCTGGCAGGAATGCTATGGAGCCTACATCAACATTTAACGGTATAAAACTGAAGGGAAATTAAGTTGAGATACTATTAGTATGTGAAATCACATAATATGTGAAATCACAACTAAAAATTTGTGCTATTTGGAATCCTTAATTACAAAGCACCATCTGTATGCATCTCACCCAAAGAAATTCAAATCTCACCAATATCAGAAATGTTAATGCTAAATTGTCTTCTATACTTCCTGATTCTTACTGGAACCTTCTTAAATCATTATTGAAGCATATTTGTGTTATATTCTCACAAGTTAACTCTAAATCCATGTTTATATGAAAGCAATTAAGAAAAATAAACTGTGTTAAGATATAGGTGGTAGTTTTCAAAGAATGCAGGTGATATTTTTCAAAGACAGAAACTACACATTTCTTATAGGAAATGCGTAGAAATGAAATGTCCTCTACTAACATTTACTTTGTACCAGGATAATTCTGTTTGTTCTCCCTCTTTTCTACTGAGGTGTAACTGACATACTATTTTCAGGTACAGAAGTGATTTGATATTTGTAAACACTGCAAAATGGCCATCACAGTAAGTCTAGTTACCCACAGCAACAAAAAGTTTTTTTCTTGTGGTGAAAACTTTCAAGATAATTTTCCTCAAGAATTTCCTCCTAGTTACTATTTGGCTATCTAACATACAGTTCATATAGGAAAAGCAGAATAAAATGCCACAATCTCTCCCTTTATTCATCAACATTCAGAATAAGAAACTAACACCCTAGCAACCTCTTATGGTGACGAATGAGGTTTTTTGGGGGGTTCTGAATATTCTTTCAATAGCTTTTAACCTTGCAGGAGAAAAGATTATAGTCCAAACTAAAACCTAACACTTGACAGTTACTGATGACTACATCTTATTCATAACCACATTTTGCAGATAATTTTCATTATTGATATTTTCTTTGGTTTAGTAACTATTCCTCTCTGTAGTAGCAGAGAAATAAGTCAACACTCTTATGAGTGGACACCAAATATATACTGAGCCAGCACCAGTTAACTGGCTAGTCTTAAAGTTCTAGTGCTACAACTGGTGTGAACGGCAAAAAGACAGGCTAGACCTGCTTTAGAATCCTAGATCATAGAAAACCAGTATCTATTTGTATCCATGGTATAAAAACAAGTATTTTTCTTCCACTTGAGAGGGGATAAAAAACTAAGTTTCACACACTGGGTAGATCAGGTCAGCCTAACCCTGTTTCACCATGGTCCTAAAGCAAATGGGATGGAACTGCTTAGTTCCTTGACCCATTATTGCATGGATGAGGAGACCCCCGATTTCTACAGCTCATAAAGAAATCCCCAAATTTACTCTTGAATAAAATTATGAATAAAATATCTTTTGCTTAGCTTAATGTTAAGTATTGTTCCTTTATTTGCCTGTTTGGGATTAAAAAACAACTAACCTGGGTCCATTTGTGGTTATCGCTTGTTATTGAATGTACATCACAGATCAAAGTCTACAAAAAAACAAAAATTAAAAAAAATACAATATATAGACAAAGAAACATATGAAGATATTTAATAAGTAAAACTCTAAATAAAAACTAAAATTCCTTTAAGATTTTATTTTTAAGTAATTTCTACTCCCAACTTGAACTTACAATTCAGATCAAGAGTCACCCACTCCTCCACCAACTAAGCCAGCCAGGCGCCCCTAAAATACTTAAACATTCCTTACCTGCATTGTTGGTCGTAAGAGAATATGCCTACTTTGGTAACCAGGAGACTTCATATTACTGGACTGCCTGTAGTCACGTATTTCTGCTATGACACATCCACAATGAAAAATATTAACCTGTTTTGAGTGAAAACATTTAAGTAAATGTCATTTTTTAAAAGCCTACATAAGAGTGCTTACATTCAATGTTTCAGGTTCTTTACATGCTTATGCAATACTTCTGGCCACTCACATAATCTTAAGTGGCCTTCCTTACTGGTGGATTTACCATTATATAAACTTTCTAAGGAATTATTTTATGTTCATCACTATGACTCAAGAAGCAGTTTAAAATCAACTTAATGAATTCTAGTTATGGACTGAGTTTTGGCATTTATATACTATTAATGTTACAAATCACTAGAAATGCTGTTCTTGATGCTCACTGGCTCACAGCTATACTTTGCTAACTTTGTCATTTTTATGAAGTTTGTCTTTGTTACAAATTGTCAATCAACCCTGCCAGAGTTTCAGTTTCTGGATATGACTACTATCTGCTCTGCTAAGATTTCCAATAAATATGACTTTATTAATAAAAGGAAGAAAGCTAACTATAAATTCAAATAATAATTTTCAGCCAAACATATTGTTTTCTGGTCCAAAGGTAAGAACCTTTATCACTCAAGTCTTGCTAATCACAACCTGCTATAGGCACTTATAATACTATGTTTTTCGCCCCTTCAGAACTTTTACTGGGGACTTTCTTTGCTATGAGTTGTTATTATGCTCATTCTTTTTAACAAGTATTTATTGAGCCACGACAATGTGAACTATATGCCAGGCACTATCCAAGAAGCTTCACAGATAGTGGTGGTGGGAGAACATTTGCTCTTAGTGTGGGAAGACAGGCAATAAACATGTACAGAAATAAGATAATCTTAGATACTGATGAATGCTGGAAAGGAAATAAAATAGGGAGGAGCTAACTTAGATTGTGGTTTCAGATAAAAACTTCTCTGAGGGAATGACTTTTTAGGTGAGGCCTGAATCACAAAAGGGCCAGACGTCCGGCACTGATCATTCCAAACACAAGAACAGCAGATGAAAGGTCTTAAGGTAGGAATAAGGTTGGTGTGTTTAAGTATGTAAAAAACAATGGATGGCTGCAGTGTAGTGAGCAGAGAAACAAGAGATGAAGACAAGGCGGCAGGGGTTTTGTACAGTGAGAAAATACTGAAGATTTTAAGCTGAGAACTTTTTTTTTTTCCAATTTCTTTTGTTTTTTAAGCTTAATCTACCTATCTGTGGAGAATTGATTTCTGGGGTTTTAGAATGAAAGCAAAAAGTTCAGCAAGGTAACTACAGCAGGTCACGACCATATATATTTTGAAGGTACAGGTGACATTTGCTGAGGGACTGATTGTGAAAGGGGAAAGCAGGGTCATAGATTACAAAGACTGAAACTGGTTTGGGGGGTAGAAAATAAAAATTTCTGTTCTCGTCATGTTAAGTTTGAGAAACTTATTACATAACCTAGTAAATACAAGTCTGGAGCTTGATGGAATAGTCATGGAGAGAGATAAAAGCAAAGGGATTAAATGTCATTTTAAAACTCATGACACTGGTTGAGATCATCCAGGGACAGAGTGTTACTAAAGAATAGAGGGCGTAGGATTGAACCCTGAAACCTTCACACATTTATGAAGGGAACAGAGATGACAGTAAAGAAGACAGAAGAAATACAAAGAGGAAAACCAGAATGTGAGGTGTCAGAAGACAAAAGAAGAGTGTTTCCAGGAGGAAGCAGTCATTGCACTGAATTCTGTTGAGACCAATTAAGATGAGAACAGAAGGGACGCCTGGGTGGCTCAGTCAGTTAAGTGGCTACCTTTGGCTCAGGTCATGATATCAGGGTCCTGGGATTAAGCCCCACATCAGACTTCTTGCTCAGCGGGGAACCTGCTTCTCCCTCTGCCTGCTGCTCCCCCCCGTTCTCTGACAAATAAATAAAATCTTAAAAGAAAAAAAAAAAAGACAAGAACAGAAAAGTGACCAGAATACAAGTAGAGGAGATTTCTTAGGTAGAGCATTCATCCATTTTAACAGAGAGGCAGGCAGAAAGTGCGAACAGAGATGTGGATGTAGTTGACCAGGACTAGGAGAAAATGGAAATTCCCACTGGCTTCTTTTTCCTAAGTATATAGTATTGCTGGAGTGAAGCCAAGGAGTAGTTTCTCCCATAATCTTGGTTGTAGGTATAGAGAGATTTCCAACAAATGAGCTAACTGTTAAAGCAATTTTAGAAGAATTAACTAAATCTACACATTTCAGTACATCCTAAAGGGTGAGTATCCCATAATAAAATGGGTTACCATATAACTATATGTAACGTCTCACTTAATGTTCTAAGCACCATCAAGAACATAATTATCATTTATAACAAATGCCATAGAGTTGACAAATCTAATGATATTTATTTTTTTCCCCAAGATTTTATTTACTTGAGAGAGTGTGCGCGAGCATGAGTGGGGTGGAGGGGATGCGGAGGGGAGAAGGAGAGTGAGAGGGGGAGGGGGAGGGGGAGAGGGAGAAACAGACTCCCTGCTGAGCAGGGAGCCCAATGCAGGGCTCAATCACAAGATCCTGAGATCATGACCTGAGCTGAAGGCAGACACTTAACCGACTGAGTTACCCAGGTGCCTCTCTAACAACAATTTAAAGAGAAAAATTTTGTACCTGAGATTTTTCTAGGAGATCAACCAAAATAGGAGGTAATTCTTCTGCATCCAAGTATTCAAGCAATTCTCCTTCTTCATAAGGCAGTCGAATGGTCTCAGAATCTTAATATTAAAACACAAAGTTTCTGAAAAATGTTCAGGCTCACTGCAAAGCTTAGTTGTATAATTTAAATGAGTTTCCATAAAAATAAAAAGAGAGAATAAATCCCAAAGGCTTTTCTAAAGTCCTTCTTTATTTAAGTCTTATAAATGAATCACTTCACATACTACTGAAAGACTTTGTAAACTGTATACAATTTTAGGCCAGAAAGGAGAAAACCCACAACACACTATGGAAAAAATTCTGGCATAACAACATAAAGCAAATTACAGCCAGCAGTACAATAATCAGAATATGATAAAATTCCAACACTGGTAACTGAAAGTCCCTTGAAGACTACTTAATCTAATCTGAAAATCAGTATGATAATTTGGTATCTCATCTGAAAAATGGTCACTTACAGAACAAAATTGTTACAATTATCAACAAAAGAAAAATATCCTTAACTGGACCCACATCATCACCACCACATCAAATTTCTAGATGTCTCTTTAGTGAAATCTAAGAGTGCTGACATTTCAAAACTATTTTCAAGTTTACATTAATAGAAATAAATGTTACTAAATAAGAAAATTATTCAAAAGGCAGCAAATCTGATTTTGAAGGTTTCAGACCCAAAAGTATACTCAAAATACAGTAGGAAAACATAAAAACACCTCATGCTACCTTAAAATGTAAAAAGCAATAAGAAGAAAATTGTGTCAATTATTTAAAGGTTAGGTCTTATATAATTTAACTTCAAAGACCTAACTCAATGAGAATTCTCTTCAAATGCATATGCATAAAGGTAATCATCTTACAGATACTTTCTAACAAAACTTCGTAAAGAGGAAAATTTGGGCTCATGTTTTCTTTATCAAGTCATCACTGCTCTGAGGGACAGACCACTTTGCACGTTAAAAAACTTCTAAAAGATAGCACATCCTTTCTTGCAGAGGGATTTTTGTGGCTGCAGCTCTCTGAAGGTTCTTACCTGATCCATTTTTTCCCCTGAGCATCAGAGAATATCCCTCATTTCCTGGGTATAGGTTGACCACTAAACAGGACAATGTCTCTTGCATAACAAGCTTCTCTAACAAATTCACATTTCTTCTTAATTTCTGCTTTAAAAAGAGGCAGAGCTCATGAAAATAATCTGGCATAACCGTAACAAAAATGCTATGATTTAACAAAATCAGACCTGAATTAATCTTTTAGTGCTCCTTCCACATTATGATCCTGAATATATGGGTAAGATTCACAAACACTACAGCCACCAAATATAAGACACATCTATGTAAACTCAATTTTGGTCTATTCTACGTTTTACACAAATGACTTCATACCATAAATAAAAAAGTGATCTATAAAAAAATAAAAATTGATATATAAAATACATATCTTTGCATACAGGCAAAATATAACAAAAATACTTAAATGAATAAAATGCAAAACCATGAAGGCAAATATATAAAACATACACGTCATATACTTAAGTTTCTATTAAGTATAAGTCTACACATAAAGAATTTGGGGTATCACCTTTGATTGTACCGTTACTGGTGTCCATTTTTTAAAATATTTTCTGGCATAAATTAGATCCAAACAAATTCAACAGCTCTAGTTAGCTGTAACGTTAGGCTCAAAGACAACTAGCTGGTAAGAAGAAATTAGGAATTTAAGCAATTTCTATAAATTCAATATAACAGCTCTTTAGAAACTATTTTTTTCCTAAGATTTTATTTATTTATTTGAGCAAGGGAGTGAGTGAGAGAGAAAGCATGATCAGAGGGAGAGGGAGAAGCAGACTCTCCTCCGAGCCGGGAGCCTGATGTGAGGCTCAATCCTGGGACTCTGGAATCAAGTCCTGAGCCAAAGGCAGATGCTTAACCAACTGAGCCACCCAGGCACCCCTAGAAACTATTTTGTGTAAAAAAGAAAAAAATCAGGAAACAGTATACATACCTAAAAATCCATTATTTTAGAAATGCATGTGTTTTAAAATGAAACTCACATATACAGATACTACAATTTATTTCATCAAATTTTATTTACAAAAAATTGAGTCAATAGAATAGTTTTGCAGGATCTCAAAGAACAAACCCGAGTATTTTATATTAAACATGTACATACACAGTTACATGCAAAGACAAATGATAAATTGATTTATTGTAACCATGGAACAAAACCCCCCAGAATTTTGAAAATTTTTAAAAAATGAGCAAATCAACAACTATTTAAAAAAGAATCAGCAGAGGGGTGCACCTGGGTGGTGCAGTTGGTTAAGCCTCTGACTTGGTTTCAGCTCTGGTCATGATCTCAGGGTCATGAGATCGAGCCGCATGTCAGGCTCCGCACTCAGTGCAGAATCTGCTTGAGATTCTTTCTCCCTCTTCCTTTACACCTCCCCACTGTGTACTCTCTCTCGAAAAAAACAAAAAAAAACAAAAAAAAAACACCAAAAAACCAAAACCCAAAACAAACAAAAAAACTTAAAAAAGAGAAAAAGATTTAGTAGAGAGAGACTAAAATTTTAAAAGTATTTTCAAGTGTAGAGAAAAACCTTCTAATTTGACATAAGACGGAACAGATAAATTGTAACAGGACCTGAGTATCCCTTCAAGACAGCAAGTTGGTTTCCACTTAGTTCTGGGGTGAGCAAAAATTCAGAGGTCAGAAAATTTCTCACTTAAAGGGCTTAGATAGTATTTTAGGCTTGTAGGCTATGTATGGTCTGTGTTGCAAATACTTAATTCTACCGTTGTACCTTGAAATCAGCCACAGATAAGACATAAATGAATGGATACAGCTGGATTCCAATAAAACTTCATTTACAAAAACATGCAGCGTTTCAGCTAGATTCAGCTGGCAGATAATGACTGGTAACCCCAATTTAGAATTATTATGTATCCTTAGTTCTGTCTCTGAGATGCTGGACATGTTCGTTATACTGTTATACTGATTGTGGTCATAGTTTAATGGGTGTACATATGTCAAAACTTACAAAATATATATTTAATAAACGTGCAATTTATTGTACAATTATACCTCAACAAAACTTATGAGAAACGTACAAGATTTATTCCATACTTATCTATCATTTTTCCCCATGTTAAGATTTTAAAGGCTAGATATTATTGGCATTCTACTAATTTTTTTGCCTAAAAGGTAAAAAAGTATTTTTCTTTTTAAGAGAGAGAAAGTGCACAAGGGGCAGAGGGAGAATCTTAAGCAGGCTCTACACAGAGCTCCATCTCAGATCATCACGTGAGCCGAAATCAAGAGTCCGACGCTTAACTCACTGAGCCACCCAAGCGCCCCAGATGGTATTCATGTTTAGCTTATGTGCTGCCATAGCGAGCACAATGGTGTTCACCTTTAAAGAAGTTCACAAAGCTTTTTAAGGTTCTTATAGCCCCCAAATCCAAAAGATATCAAGAAATCAATTTGCTACATTTCTATTGCCCATACTTTTATACTAAATAAAAATGAGTTAAGTTAACCTAGCCCTGAATTAATTTTTGTGACCAAATTCATCTTTTATTATCACACCTGAATTTCCTACATGTCCTTATAACCTTTCCAGTGCAAATCACCCTGAGGAAATAGCTACTTTTTTCCTCCTGTCTTTGGTCTACAAATCACTTATCAGGGGGAAAAGAAGCAAAAGATAATATATATGGTGACTCTGCTTCTTTGAGCTTCTCAAGGAAATATTTTCCGTTACTTGGCAAACACTGTTCACCTCTCTTACCTAAGCAGGTGATCTCTACCCAGTGCCAGATTAGCCAAGGTTATGGGTCAGCTGCAGAATTGGGTAGTTTGGCTAGAAAAGATGTTAGTTCACTCACAAAAATATAAATCATGATGTGCTTCAAATTTAACTCCTTCAAATGTCCCTCTTCCTCTACATTTCAAAAGCAGTAACAACATAAAAAATTTATACTTACCTTAACTTCAGGCTCTTTTTCACATTCTTCAATATATAAGTCATAAAGTTTTTGAAATACAGATTTTCTAAAATTTAATGAAACAAAATATTTTATTTGATGAAATGAAATATTTCATTTCAAAATATTATAATCATAAAATGAATGCAATTTTGAAATTTTCCCTAATTTTTTCCCCAATTTCTCCCAAACTGGGGGTGAAGAGGGGTTGGATATAGTAGCTAATATCAACTTAGAAATTTCTAATACCTGTAAAGTACCTCTAACACTTCTAGCACAGTGCCTAGAGGGAATGCAGTAAGTGGTAGCTATCATATTTTCAATAATCACAAAGATATCAATCAATCAAGTACCCATACCTTCCACTAGACAGGTATTTCCTTTTCGGAGGTCGCTGTCGGGCACTTTCAATGACATACTAAAAAAGAAAAGTTTATGAAAATAGCTTGCCTTTTGCTTAGTGCATGAACAGCTCTATTGTATGAACAGCTCTATTATAAGTATACCTAAAACGTGTTAAGACCAAAAAACTAGTCACTCAAGTCTCTGATTCATATTAAATTATACCTTAACTACTTATACCTTAAACTACTTAACATCTAAATTTATGTTACAAACAAGTGAAATTTAAACTGCTCTATAATTTAACACAATATTTCACTGCTATGATACAAGCAAAATCATACAGTTTCAGAACTGTGATTTCACAGGTCAGAATTATTTTCAAAATGTTTTATGGTTGTTCAGAATATGCACAGCATATCCAGTTGTAAGAACTCTATATATTTTTGAACTATTTTCCCCTTTAATTGAGTAATTAGAAAACTTATCAAAAAGGAAAACATGATTTTAGAAATTCTATGTCTTTGTTCAATAATTTTTATTCTACACTAAGAATTCCAAATAAGAGATAATCCAAACCTCATCACAAAGTATTTTTATTTATAGCAAAATTATATGCATACTTATCCTAAAATTATGTTAATGTACTCCTCTGAGAACCACATACAAAAATCTCTTAAAACTGAGTTTTGTTAATTAAGACAACACTATTTCAATATGTAACTTAGTCACACCTCACCTCAGCACGATCCAAAGCTAGTTCTAAAGCTTGTTGCTGTAAAAAGTAAATAGTGTATTTGGTATTAGTTATTTTCACAAAAAATAATATAACACTTCTAGTTAAATGTTTATATACGTTTTTATTTTCTAAAACACATCTAACATATTTTCCTTTATTTTATATCCACCCACCCCACTGTATGTTCAAGATATATTACAAAGAAAAATCATGTCAGTCTTGGGCACCTGATTATGACAATAAATTATATAAGAAATGCTAAAATGGTTTTCTCTGGCTAGTGTTTATGGAGGCTAATACATAGCCAATGGCTGGATATAGAAACTACTACCGTTCTATAAACTTCAAGTTCTTCAACATTCTAAGAGCACCAATCAGGAAAATACACAGCCATCCAGTATGCAATTAAAGTGAAGCAAAGATTAACTCTCCTAATCTGCTAGGAATCCTGAAAATCGGGGGTGCTGTTAGATTGGTACCTAACACCAATTTAGAAATTCTTAATATCTTTTTTTAAAGATTATTTATTTATTTATTTATTTGAGAGAGAGAATGAGAGATAGAAAGCACGAGAGAGAAGAGGGTCAGAGGGAGAAGCAGACTCCCCGCTGAGCAGGGAGCCCGATGTGGGACTTGATCCCGGGACTCCAGGATCATGACCTGAGCTGAAGGCAGTCGCTTAACCAACTGAGACACCCAGGTGCCCAGAAATTCTTAATATCTTAATGCAGAGAATCTATAATATAAGGTTTCTAGGTCAGTGCCCAGTAGAAATGCAATAAATGATAGCTATCATTACCATGTTTCAATGACTTTAAGATACCATCAACTGTAAGTATGCATCAGTATCCTAGGTAATATTAAGAAAAAAATGCAGCCAATTATAACTGCAAGATGTCCTTAATTGTAGACTCATCGGCTAATATTAAAATGTATAAGAAAATGCATCTAAAATTAATGAAATAATAGTTTTATTACTGCATGTCAGGCCTGAGAATAAAGAACAGACTCCCACCCTTCATCCATTTCTTTGAGACCCTTTTATCAAGGCAAGAGAAGAAGGTAAGCTCTGTTTTCCTCATTTGTAAAAGTTTCTTTTGTACTGATATCTAAGAATAAAGAGTATTAGGTTTTAAATAAGTAATTTTTTTTAAAAGATTTTATTTATTTATTTGACAGAGAGAGAGCACAAGCAGGGGGAGGAGCACACAGAGGGAGAAGCAGGTTCCCCACTGAGCAGGGAGCCCGATGTGGGACTCGATCCCAGGACCCTGGAATCATGACCTGAGCTGAAGGCAGTTGCTTAACTGACTGAGCCACCCAGGCCCCCTAAATAAGTAAATTTAACACCAATGATATCTCTTTCTAATTTTGAGGTTTGGGTACCATACAGTGTTACAGTATTTTTCATTCACAATGATAGTCTTTAATTTTTAATTCCACTGAGAGCCAGAGAACTTTCATTTTTTATTAACAAGGGCCTAAATTATTTTATTTTGTAGACTGCAGTAATTCTACCTACTAAATTCTATGGGGTAAAAGCTAGCACCCACCAAAATCCCAAGAAAGCAATGGGAAAAAGAAATACTGCCAGCCTCTGGAAATCATGGAAAGGTTTAAGTGACCCTGCCACCCGAGTCCTAGGGATGGAGAATTCATATGACGACAAAAACAGCTGGTCATTTTAGACGGCAATAAAAAAAACAAAAAACAAAAAAACCCAAAAAACAAAAAACAAAAAAAAAAACCACTCACATTACCAAACATCTAAAACGTAAAAGTGAAAAAAGGCTAAAATATGCCATCATTTCAAAGTTAAAATAAATTTATACCAATTTAATTTATGAAAATAATCTTATAAGCAGCAGATTCCTAATGAAATTGGTTCCCAGGATTCAAGATGAGATTCTCGAGTATAAACCATTTTCCAGCACAAAACTGTAACTCTAGATATGCCCTTTTAACAAATATATAAGGTTATTTTAATTCTTTTGGTCATAAAAATCTTAAAGTTCATACAAAAAATTATAATAAACAAATGTATACTCTAGGACAACTGGCTACTGTTAAGTCTTCTCAAGTAAATGTCTCATCTTCTGAAATCAAAACTTCAAAAGCTCTAGTGAGATATAACTGCTTATGTTTATAAGCATCATTTATTCACTACCTCCGTCTAACACTTGAGAGAAAGTGATAGCTAATATGAATGCAAGATGTTAAGTTGAGGTCAGCCCCTCATTTTGACTGCACTACTTTTCTCTAACAGGCAGTGGTGGATAGGCAAGATCAGAAGAGAGGACAAACGTTTTCAAAGGTTTATTCAGCACTGTGGTCAGTGTTTATTTTTTCATTGTTAAATGCTGCTGCTTCTTTCAAACACAATAAAGTGATTTTTTCCCCTTTGTTTTTAAATATTTTCATGGCAAAAGGTAAATGCCCAGCCCCAAGTATGTTTAATGACTGTTAAGTCAGTGAACAGAAATGTGCCATTAGAAGGCTAACATTGATGATGCTGCTTTAAATGTTTTTTGTGGTAAGCAGGTTACATTTGTTTTTAAACAACAACAATCTAAATTAAGAGGAATTTTAAAATATGAGAAACCTGTGCCCCCTCCAAGTCATTTGTATTTATACCCACCCTCCTTGCCAGTGATTTGACTGTGGCAGGTGAAGTAAATATTTTTTAATGCTTCACAAACATAAGGACAAATTATCTTTTTAAGTTAGACATAATTATAATATTGAATTGAGAGATGAGCCCCCTATTTTCTAGAGAAGATTTTGCAGGTGAGCGCTAAGTAATCTCCTAGGTAGGGTAACTTAGGCATATGTGAGTATTTCTGTACCTGTAATACAGATATTTTTATAGAGATAAAGAGAACATTCTAAAACACAAATAAGAACATAATGAGCTATAGCTTACCATTGTGGTATAAAATAGGGGTCCAAAAAGAGGAGATAACTTATGTGCGTTGATGAAGAGGGGTGAAAACCATGTCTTTAGTATCAATCTTATAGTGCTAAAAAAGCAAAAACAACAAAAACCCCACATTAACATAAAGCTTTTAAGAGAAATCAGATTATCTCGTTAATAGGGAAAATTACTTGAGAAATAGAAATTTTTGAACACATTTTTAAATAATCAGCAACAATAAAAATCACATATCACACAATTGTTGAAAAGTACAGTTTTAACTAGGTAAATTAGAATCATTACTCGCTTTCTTCAAAAAATTTAACATCCAGGAGAGAAAAGAATAAATGTCTTCAAATTTCTCCTCTCCATCGCCACTGTTGCTATTGTCATTGTTCCTATGGATTATTCTAACAATCTATCCACTAACCTGCATCACTGTACAGTTCACTTTACAAATCGCACATTTCATCACACCTGCTAATAAAAGTCCTCTAAAGATATTCCCCCAAATATCCTAAGCTACATTTGGCAGATACAGCTCCAGTCCCTCTAGCCCTTCCCCTCTTCAAGCAAACTGGATACACTGCTGAAGAATCTCATTCCTCTTAACACATGGGTTCTCACCCTGGCTGCATAACAGAATAACCTGGGGAGCTTTAAAAAGTGGTATACTCATGCAGTGATTCTGATTAACTGGTCTGGAGTAGGGCCTACGGATCAGAATTTTTTGAAACCTCCAGGTGATGAAAAGGCTAATTTTACCTAAGTCCCTCTGACTTGTGTGTCTACACACCATTAAGCTATAAAAGCCACATCCTCAAGTGACTGAAAACAGTATTTTCCATGTAAAATTGTTTTTGTTTTTGGTGAACCCAAAGCTTAGGTTTTGCCAGTTTGGGTTTAAGAAACAAACAAACAAACAAAAAACAAAAAATGACAGGCACCATCCAAGTTCCAGGAACAATAATTAAAAAAGTAAGACGTTAATCCTACCTTCCAACAGCTCATGGGTTTAATGTGAGTTTAAGTTAAGGTGAAAATTTCTGACCACTGAATCTAAAGATGAAGGTACAACAGGTACAGGCAAGATGTGATGACTCTAATCTCTGTCACTAAATTGGGAGGGGGATGGGAAGAGGAAGGCTTCCCAACTTTAAATTATTTAAGTATTACAGACAAAAACCATTAACTACGTATACAATTTAGAAACCAAACATTATGACCGCATACAGCATTTACCAGAACCCTGTGAAAAAACCATTGTAATTATCGTGTCCACTGTACAAAATAAGGCACTCAAAACGAAGGATTTTCCCAAGATCACACAGACTGGAATTTAGACCTCTAAATTTTTAATCTTAGATTCTTTCTACTAAAGCTCACGACCTTCAGGCCATTCAATCCAGCACTCGTTTTTAGATTTTAAAAAGCAATCGGATTCTGCTCAGACTAACGTACATTTTTTTTTCTTAATTTTGATCTACCTTCATATCATGGTTCTCAACCTTCGTACACTATACTCAATCTAACTCGGAAAATCTTGCTAATCACTATTTTCCTACCAGGGACTTTAATGTATGGTACCCAGGAAAACGCAGCCCCTCCTGATGCGATGGTTACAGGAGATGGCTTCCAGAACAGCTAGCTCCGGTAACCATGGCAAGGACCAGTAATTAATCCAACTGTAAAACTAGCAACCGATTCCACTGCTTTTCCTGATCGACCTGACGCTTCAACTGTTTGGGTTTTTTTTTTTTTTTTTTTGAAACAACTTAGGTTTTACCAATATAACGCCACAACACAACAGCAGGGCGAACAGTCTTTAGTCAATATGGATACCAAGAAACCCTCCCCCAAAGAAGCGCTACGCGAAATTCTTGGAAATTTCCGGAAATACCCGTACCTGGAATCCAAAAGTCAAGCTACAATGAAAAGCGTTGCTTGGAAACACTGCCAGAGGCAACTGAGGCTACTACCCGGGGTGCGAGGGCTCAGCCCAGCCCGTCCCCGTCTCTGGGAACACCTTCCCTCTGCGGACGCCGGCTCTGTGGAAAACCGCGAAAAGCCACTCGGGAAGCCGCTCGCTTACCTTTGACCCCGGCCAAGATCTCGCGCGCCTAACCGTCGCTGGGGGCCCGCCACTCCCACTCGCCACCACCCACCTGTGCGGAACGCCGCCGCGCTGGCCTCATGACGGCGCGTCTGGCTCGGCTGGAACGCGACGTGCGGGCGAGGGCCCCGCGCTGCAGGCTGCAGGTTCGTTCCGTAGGTCCTCTCGCGGGAGCGTCGCAACTCAGCCGTAGGCCTGTTCCGGCGCCCGCACTTCCGACTGGCGCGCTGGGCGGGGCGAGCTGGGGACCGCAGGCGGAAGAGGTGGAGTTGGGAGGGTCGGCCGGCACCCAGGAGGCTTGCGCGCCAAAGGCTGGTGTTGCCGGGGCGGGGCGGGGCGGGTCTCCACAAAGAGGGTGGGGACTCAGGCCCGGCAGTTGGGGGGGCCCACAAACTCCTTCGCGGGCCCAGCATCCAGCCCCGTAAAATGCGAGGTAGTATGTGGCTATTTGGAAGGTAGGGTGCCCTTCTGAATTTCTGGAGTGAAAGACTCTTGGAACGAGCTTTTAATCTCAGCCCATCCAAATGGAAAGGGAACTTCACCATTTCTACAATTAATAGTTCAAGCCATTCAGCCGTCGACAGTGTATATCAAATGCCAGTGAATTTAATGTTTAAAAAATTCCAAAAAACAAACAGAAGCAGCCTCACTGAAGAGTTCTAACAGTTCAGAAAGGGAATAACCAGCATACATTACAATGTCTAATTGTAGTTCTGCACCTCTAAACAACTTTGGTTGTTGGGTATAAACTTTATTCTTATTGAGGTGAAATTCACAGAACATAAAATGAAACATTTTAAAAGTATAATTCAGGGACGCCTGGGTGGCTCAGTCAGTTAAGCATCTGCCTTCAGCTCGGTTCATGATCCCGGGGTCCTGGGATCGAGTGCCGCATCGGGCTCCCTGCTCGATGGGGAGTCTGCTTCTCCCTCTGCCTCTCTCTCTCTGTCTCTCATGAATAAATAAAATCTTAAAAAAATAAAAATATAATTCGGTAGCATTTAGTACATTCATGATGATGTGCAACCACCAACTCTAATTCCAAAACATTTTCATCACCCCCCATTAAGTATTTACTCTCCATTTTTCCCTCTCTTAGACCTCAGCAGACACCACTTACTTTCAGAGTCTTTAGATTTACCTAATCTGGATATTTCCCAAAAATGGAAAATGTGACCTTTTTTTATGTCTGTCTTCTTTCACTTAGCGTAATGTTTTCCAGGTCCATCCACCTTGTAGCAAGTATCAGTACATAATTCCTTTTTATGGCTTATATTCTGTCCCATTGTATGTATATACTACAGTTTTAGTTTTACGCATTGGTCCATTGATGGCCATTTGGGTTATTTACACCTTTGGACTATTGTGTATGGTGCTGCTATGAATATTTGTTTTGTATTTGAGTCCTGTTTTCAATTTGGGGGTGGGTGGGTAATATACCCCTAAAGAAAACCAGAGCCTGACATAGTTCAAGTGGTAAAAACAGATTTTATTTGGCAACTATTGCAAAAGAGGGAAAGAGACCTCAGTATAGAACTGGACTCAATTCCACATGTACAGCATGAACAAATAGTAATTTATAGCCAAGGAGCAGAGTTGGAGGGCAGTGGATGGAAGTTTCTTAATAGGAAATAATAAGGGTCAGGGGGCATTCTGGCTAAACTGACTTGTTGGGATTCTGACTGAAGGCAGATTAGGTTGATCAGGCACCAAGGGTGGGGACTAAGAGTTTGATCAGATCAGATATCCAGGGGGATACAGATACACAGTTCTTTGTAAACTGACTTAGGATTCTTGCTACAACTGGTTAATACATGTCCCACAAATCAGACTAGAATCCTGGAGAGAGCTTGTCAAATACCTAGGAGTGGAATTGCTGGGTCATATGGTAATTCAATTCTTAAATATTTGAGAAATTGATGAAACTTTTCCACAGTGGCTGAGACATTTTACATACTAATAGCAATCAATATGTGGTGGTTCCAATTTCTCTACATCCTCGCCAAATTTCTTTTTTAAAAATTATACTCATCCTAGTAGGTATGAAATAGTATCTTATTGTGGTTTTGATTTGTGTTTTCCTAAGGCTAGTGATGTTGCATATCTTTTCATGGCTGTGTTGCCCATTTGTATATCTTTGGAGAACTGTCTATTCAAGTCCTTTGCCTGTTTTTTAATTGGGTTGTCTTTGTTGTTTAAGTTTTGAGTCTTTCTGTATTCTGGATACTAGACCCTAATCAGATATATGATTTGCAAATATTTTCTTCCATTCTGTAGGTTGTCTTTTCACTTTCTTGCTAATGTCCTTTGATGTACAAACAAATTTCTGATGAAGCCTAGTTTATTTTTCTGGCTTATGGCTTGTGCTTTTGGTGTCATACTTAAAAACCCATTGCCAAATCCAAATTCATAAGGATTGTCAAAAGCCAAACTCCATACACTGAGTAAAATAAAACAGAAAGATGAGTTTGTTGCAGTGGTTTTGACCTGTAAACTCGGAAACTCAAGACAAAGAGAGCAATGAGTTTCAAGTTAAAAGGTGTTTATGGGGAAGTTATTTGACTTTTTCAGTTGATTGGTTGCTTAGTGTTCTTATTTGTGTCAGGGTAGCTGAGTCAAAGAAAAAAGAAAGTCCAAAGATAGCATGAACAGACTTGGCATTTGGGGGTATCACTGTCCTGGACTGATTTCTGAGAGGAGCCATAAGTTACTGCAATTTGTCAGGTAAGGCTAAGTTTTGCTTTTCTTTAATGTGCCTGCCTGCATTGGCCAACACCATTTTGTCCCCATCATGAGTGACTCCATTTTAATTTTGATTCTATAGGATTTACCCTTAGGATTTCTTGTAAGAGTTTTATGATTTTAGCTCATGTATTTAAGTCATTGATTCGCTTTCAGTTAGTTTTTGTATATGTTGTGTAATAGGGATTTCATTTCATTCTTTTGCATGTTGTCCCAGACCCATTTGTTGAAGAGACTGTTCTTACTCCCAATGAATGGTCTTGACCTCCATATCAAAAATCAATTTGCCATACATGTATGGGTTTGTTTCTGGACTGTTAATTCTACTCCATTGGTCTATATGTCTATCCTTTGTCAGTGTAGGTATCCCCAGCTTTTCAAAATTTGTGTTATGCCACTTTGCTTTTACGAAAGACCTACATTAGTACCTGTTTTCATTAATTGAAAGAAATCTGAAAAGAATTTTTGCTTTTACGACAAAAGATTAAAGGAGAAAAAAGTGTTCAGTGTTTGTTTTGTAGTGAGCCTTTATAGAGGCAGCATGCACCCTGAGCAACAAGAGTGGCACAGCCAAACTCTTTCTCTGGGAACTACATCTCAGTATCAAGCCACCATAGCTTTGCACTGTGTCTGTGAGCATCTGTGCTTAATCTTGATTTATGTTGTGCATCCATTTAGCAAGATGTGTTCTAAAGTATCAGAAAAGCCTGAGAGAGATTGTTTTTCCATGTAAAATTATAATTTTCCATGTAAATTAATGTTAATTGCTTCTTCACTCTATGCCATTTCAGTTTATAAAAGGTTTCATAGGAACTCTATTTTTGGATAGCAGGAAGAAATCTGTACCACACTGTTTTGATTACTGTAACTTTGTAGTAAGTTTTAAAATGGGGTTGTGTAAGTCCTCCAGTTTTGTTCTTCTTTTCTAATATTGTTTTGGCTCCCTTGCAACTTTATATGAATTTGAGGATCAGCTTTTCCATTTTTGCAAAAAGGCCACTAGGATTTTGATAGGGATTGTTGAATTGGTACATAACTTTGGCAAATATTGGTGTGTTAAATACTCCGTCTTCCAATTCATGAGCATGATAATTTTCCATTTATTTAGGTCTTCTTTAATTTTTTTCAGCAATGTTTTATGGTTTTCAGTACACAATATTTTCATCTCCTTAAATTTATTCTTAGGTATTTCATCTTTTTGAATGCTATCTTAATCAGCTTAGGTTGCTATAACAAAATACTGCATACTGGGTGTCTTAAACAACAGAAATTTCTTTCTTACAGTTCTGGAGACTAGGAATCCTAGATCAAGGCCAGTATGTTTTCTGGTGAGAATTTTATTCCTGGCTTGTAGATAGCTGCCTTCTCACTTTGTCCTTCCATAGTGGGCAGGGAGAGAAAGAAAGGGAGACAGGGTGTACTCTGGTGTCTATTCTTAAGGATACTAAGCTATCAGATGAGGACCCTACCTTATGACCTCATTTAACCTTAAATTACCTTCTTATAGACCTTATCTCAAAAACAATCAAATTGGAGATTAGGGTTTCAACATATGGATTTTGGAGGGACACAATTCAGTCCATAGCAGATGGATTATAAGTGGAATTATCACTTAATTTCCTTTTTGGGTTATTCATTGTTAGTGTATTAAAAACACATTTTTTTGAGTGTTGATCTTATACTCTGCAAATTTGCCAAATTTATTTATTAGCTCTAATAATTGTGTGTGTGTGTATGTGTGTATGTTCTTTAGGATTTCTATATACAGAATCATAGCATCTGTTAATTGAGATAGTTTTACTTGTTCCTTACAATTTGGATGCCTTTTATTACTTTCCCTTGTCTAATTGCTTTGGTTAGGGTCATTCTTTCATTTGAAGGAATTGGCTCATGCAATTGTTAACGCTGGCAAGTCTGAAATTTGTAGGGCAGGGTGGTAGACTGAAACTCAAGCAGGAGTTGATGTTGTAGTCTTGAGACAGAATTTGTTCTTTTCCAAGAACCCTCAGTTTTTGCTGTAAAGGCCTTTGTGTATTGTCAAGGTTGATTGAAAAAGGCCTACCTATATCATCAAGAGTAATCTTCCTTATTTAGAATCAATCAATTGTAGATGAAAAACACATCTATAGAATTCTTTTCACAGTAATACCTGGATTAGTGTTTGATTAAATAGGTGGATAGCAAAGTTGACACATAAAACCAATCATCACACCCAGTGTGGTAGATAGTTTTATTCACAATTTTTTAAATAAAAAATTTCACTTTTGTCATGGCTTCAGTCTGGGTAGAATATACTTCCCCCACCGTAGTGACTTTGCATTTTGCCATATGACGTGCCTTGGCCAGTGGAATGTGAGTGGATGTAACATATGTCCACCAGTTGGGAAACGAGATGTGGTCTTGGACAGAAGGGAAAGGCCTGTATATTCTGAATCCTTTGGCTTTGCGTGTATGTGCATGTATTTGTATGTATGT